CACTCTAAACTGTAAAGAAACAACCAATAGTTGCACGTTCCTCCACTGAGGCCGAGTACGGTGCACTAGTAGTTGCAACCTCCGACATCATATAGCTTCGATGACTTCTACTTAACTTCCACATACCCTCACCAGAACCTACTACCCTCTACTACAACAATATAGTATCATGGCTCGTAAAAAGCACATCAAGATCGATTATCATTTTATATGGGATCGCATTAGACTCAAGGAGGTGGTCATTCATCACATCAATTCTAAGGACCAGCCATGAAACATCCTAACAAAAGCTCTATCGCCTACTCAATTCTACCATCTACACAACAAATTGACAATCCATAATTGGGATTCACAATTTGAGGGAAGATGATAAGCCAACTATGATAAGTAGGCCACCAACTCGGTGTCACTCAAGTACTCTCTCAGTAGAGTAGCTGACAATCTCTCTACCAAGCTAATCAAGATCATATAATGCTAACTAACACATCTCATCTATTTACTCACTTACTGTTTCACATCTCTCTTATTATATAAACATCATTGTAGCTCCTCTAATAGCTGAATGAGAATATTACACAAGTTTACCTTCTCTACTTCATGCCTATTTTCTCTACAGTTATGAGTATGCGACTTGGCCATCTTGGTACAAACCCCTTTGATTTATCATTAAAAAATAATCTTGATCAGGCATGAATCTTGAGGCAAAATCAAGTTGGGAACTTTTGAAATTAAAATTGGGACCATCCAAACTCCAATTTTAGCAAACCTATAGTCAAATTGAACGTCTCAGAATTACAAACCCAATGATACCAAATTCGACACAATCAAAGCCCAAATGGGTCCAAATCAAAGGCTTGAAAGGCCTTTGGAAGGTTCAAACCATAATTTGGATTACTAAAAAAATTCCAAATGTAACATGCTTGTAGTTGAATTGAGCGGCTTGGTGAGATAAATCCAACGAGCCTAAGATCCCTGACTTCTTATATCTTTAAGACATTCAAATGTCTAGTAAATGATTCATGATAAAGGGAATCAACATCGGCCATCCATTCAATGTACTCCCAACTTATAATTGATCTTCCTTCTATTTACTAGTCATTCCACTCTCAGAAAACTATAAATAAACCCATCATTTCTCATGAAAGGGGACCCAAGCAAGGAAAAGAAGGACAAGAAGGAAAATAAGGAAGAGAGTTTTCTTTCCACCAGACTCCTCAACAACTGCCAAACTTTCGTCTGGCCACCAAATGATACAAGACTTCTTCCTAATAGCCGATTGACCCTAGATTTCCACCTAGTTACTAACGGATGCCATACTTCCACCCGACTACTGATTGGGGTCTATTTATAGTTATGAGTATGTGACTTGGCCATCTTGGTACAACCCCCTTTTATATATAATCAAAATATTAACTTGATTGAGCACGAATCTTGAGACAAAATCAAGTTGGAAAATTCTAAAATTAAATTTTGGGCCATCTAAACTCTGATTTAAACAAACTTACAATCAAATTGACGTTTCATAATTACGACACCAAATCCACTCTATCTGAGCCCAAATGGATCTAAATCGAAGACTTGAAATGCCTTTGTAAGGTTCAAACTATAAATTGGATTAACAAACAAACTCCAAATGTAACATGCTTATAGTTGAATCAAGCCGCTCGACGAGATGAATACAACGAGCCCAAGATTGCTGAATTTTGATCTTTAAGACATTTAAATAACCAGTTAATGGTCCATGATCGAGGGAATCAACATTGACCGTTCATTCAAATCACTCCCAACTTATCCTTGATCTTCCTCATATTTACTAGTCATGCCATTATCAGAAAACTATAAATTGACCCCTCATTTCTCATGGAAGGGGACCCAAGCAAGGAAGATAAGGTCAAGAAGGAAAATAAGGAAGAGAGTTCTCTTGTCACTCAACTCTTCCTCAACCACCGCCATACTTCTGCTCAGTCACAGAATGACGCCATACTTCTGCCTGACAACCGATTGAACCCGAATTTCCACCCAACCACTAACGGACGTCAGACTTCCGCCCAACTTCTGACTAGGGTCTATTTATAATTATGAGTATGTGACTTGGCCATCTTGGTACAAACCCCTTTTATATGTCATAAAAAAATTATCTTGATGAGGTATGAACCTTGAGGTAAAATCAACTTGGAATTAAAATTAAATTTGGGACCATCCGAACTCCGATTTTAGCAAACTTACAGTCAAGTTGAACGTCTCAAAAATTACGAACTCACCGACACCAAATTCGACTCAATCTGAGCCCAAATGGGTCCAAATCGAATATCTAAAATGCCTTTTGAAGGTTCAAACCATAATTTGGATTACCAAACAAACTCCAAATGTGACATGCATATAGTCGAATCAAGCGGCTCGACGAGATGAATCCAATGAGCCCAAGATCGTTGAATTCTGATATCTTTAAGACATTCAAATATCTAGTAAACTGTCCACGGTCAAGGAAATCAACATTGGTCGTCCATTCAAACCACTCACAACTTACCCTTGATCTTTCTCGTATTTACTAGTCATAAATAGATTCCTTATTGTCATAAAATGGGACCCAAGCAAGGAAGAGAAGGACAAGAAGGAATAGAAGGAAGAGAGTTCTCTTGCCACTATACTCCTCCTTGACCACCACCGGACTTCTGCCCTGCCATCGAATGACACCAGACTTCCACCTGACTGCCGGTTGACCCCAAATTTCTGCCTGGCCACTAACGGACATCGGACTTCCACCCGATTGCTGACTGGCATCGGACTTCCGCCCGACTGCTGACTGGCATCGGACTTCCGACCGACTACCGTCCGATGCCAAACTTCCACCCGGCCGCCAACTGACACCGAATTTTTGCCCGAACATGGACTAAAACTGGACTTCCATTCAACCTGCATTTGTAACGAGATTGTAACTTGACGGTTGACCATTGCAATTTGATCAATTTCAAGAACAAATTAGACACTTGTAATCTATTCAAACACTTGTATAATCATTTCAACTAAGCGTAGCCCTGTGATTTTTTCCTTTTCCCATGTTTCCACATAAAAATTCTATTGTTTCATTTTTCTGTTTGTGTGCTGGATATCCATACAATGCCAAGATGAAAAATTATAACTCTATCACCGCATATATTCTAGCCCGCAACACCCTTCATGCACTCATGTTCTTTTTTGCTCCTGGGACAATAAACTAGTATTCAAGATCAATCTATTGCTTGTCCAAATGTTGATTCAAGTAATAGCGTACTTAATAGAGAACTTTTATACCCTACAGAGAACTTTTATGTCAAATTTGATGCCTAGATGGACTTGTACCAAATTATTTGTAATTGCTATATATTATGTCTAATTTTTTATTGATAAGAAAGTAAAATATTTAGAATAAATTTTTAGTCATTAAAGAAATTTATTGTGTGATAAGTAACAAAATATTGTATTTTTGGGGAATATTTGCTGGGGTGTTTTTGGGGCATATTCTTTGATGGTTATCTCTAACTTCATAAATTTTTAGTCCAAAGATCCCGTTGGCTATCTCGTCCCAATGAATCAATAGAAAAGTCATATGCACTTCACTTCAAGTCTTTTTGGATGATGGCTCATCAAACCAACTACCCCGTCACAAATAAAATAATTTTATGCTATGTTTGAGAGGGTTTTTTAAAATAATATAAAAGTTTTAATTTTAATTTTTTTACAAAAAAAATTGTTTTAAGAAGCAGTAAGAGAAAACGGTCACAAACTAAACCTTGAACCCTCAATGTGGGCTAGTAACGTCACCTATCACAACAAAATATATTCAAGCTTCATTTGGGACATTTTTTTAACTATTTCTTTAAGCAGTTTTTAGTACAATTTTTTTTTTAAAATTAGTAATTTGTGTATGAGAAAACTGCTTTAGAAAGTAATAAAAAAATTATCCCAAATAAAATCTCAATCGATTCCTTGAAATGATTCATTTCACACAAACGAAATAATACTCACATTTGACCACATTATCAAGAAGAATTTCATTTATATTTTTCTTCGAATAAATTTGAATCCAACAATGATCTTCCCGAAGTTTTGCTTTGATCATTAGATTTAGGTTAAACAAATTTTGAGGATGTTATAACGATACAATAATACTCTCTTAAAATAAGATGTCAATTTACAATAAAATAAATCGAGCAATTCAATCAAGCTAGAATTGATTCGACAATATTTTTATCTATTCAATCTTATTCTTAGAAGAAATGGTTCTAATAGTGAACGAAATTGGTTCACAGTTGAACTGATTAGATCGATCGGTACGAATACTAAATATTAAAATTTATAATAAATTTTGAGCTCACATTTATCATGGCATATGCAAATACATGAATTTATTAACTCTTTTTTATCATTGTTAATTCTATAAATAAATAAATAAAAGTTCAATTATATATGCATAAATATAATATATTTCAAAAAAATATGACACATGATGCATAAAAAGTTGCTTAATTTTTTTTTTTTTATATTATGGAAATGAATGATTTATGATATGAACACATTGCACATTAATACACTGAATAAATATAAAGAGTTTAAATTTTAAATGTTATATAGATAAATATAAAAAATTAAATATTTGATACATAAACATATAAATATTTTATGGTAATAAACTAATAATGTAAATAACTCAGTCTCCAATGCATAATTTAAAGAGTTGTTTGCTATAAAATTTAATTTGATATGTTGGTTGGAAGCTTTAACGACTAACTAAGAGTATTGGGTTGCCATGTGTAAGAGTTGCCCCCTCCCACCTTAAAAAAAGGAGAAATTATTCTATGTGGAGTTGCAGAACGTCATCCGGAGACTAACCATAATGTGCCACACTAGTGATACCGAGCCGCAGTACCAAGTACAGTGTGACGTAACACATTCCGGTTAATCTTCGGACGGCAATCAGCGTCTGCACAGAATAATTTAAAAAAAAAAATATAATTGATTAGGAAGAGAAAAAAACAAGACATAAATTCATTTATAAAACACAAAACAGAAAATATCTGAAGAACACAAAAACCTCTCCATCTCAACACTACTAAACCCTAAAAATCCAACAATAAAAGCTGTAGATCCAACGGCCGAGAGATTACACCAGCACATTGATTACCAAATTTTTCAAGCACTAACAAAGGATTTTTGAAGCAACGAGAGGAAAATCCTGTGGCGTTAACCAAGCATACTTAAATCTTACCAGCGCACCAGGAGCAATCGGCCGTCCACCGCCCACAAGGCAGCGTTCTTCGTCGAGGGGTTTAATCGATCGCGGATCGACGGCTTCTACGCTGCTAAGACCGTAGCATCGGACCACAACCCTAGATTGCTGGCAATGGCAGAGATTGCTTAGATTTACCTCATATTCCGGCTTTCCTTCGACGATCCGACCGGTCCGAGTCTGGTGGACGACAATGTCGGAGCTCCGGCAAGACGCGGACCGAGCTCCGGCTATGGCGAGGCTGATAGTTGCTAAGACTGAGAAGAACTTGAGAAGTTTGCACATTGTGTGATGTATGCTACCTCGTGCTTGCTGGAGCTGGATTTGGGGGTTTTCTCTGTGGCTCACTTTGGAGATTTGGGGATCTGATAGGTCTTATATAAGGAGTTGGAGTGGGAGTGAAAATGGGATTCGATGCCATGTGAGCGCATCGAATGAGGAATTTCAGAGAGGTGGGCTGAGAATTGTTATTAATGTGAAAGTAGCTGAGCAGTTCATCTTTTGCTTTTCCAATAAAGAAATATTGGGTATAAAATTTGTATATATAATATATCAAAATGATTCTAACTATATTAAATTATCATTTTCATCTCAATAATTTATTTTGATCATTTTTTTAATCATATATTTGAATTAAAAAAAATTATATATTTGGATCATATATTTTAATATTTATCATTCATCATTAAATAAATTGTTAATATTATATTTAAATTGACATCATATTATATATATAAAGAAAGAAAGAGAGATTTTTTCGGAGGAGAGTTGATCATTATATAATTGAGTATTTCAGGAAAAGATAATTATGATTTTATTGCCTTCAAATATAAAAAATTGAAATTTTTTCACATTTGTTGCTCTTTTTAAAATTTTCTCCCACTTAAGTTTTTTACTTGTATAATTTTATATGATGCTTTTTTTTCTTATAATTGTCCATTTTAAAGTGTAGAGAGTTTAAAAGGAATTAGAACTAAGCAAAAAGATTGTAGGAGATATTTTGCATATATTAGAAATTTTTTGTTTGTGAAATACATGAGTGAATGTAAATATTCGAAGGAGGCCTTTATATGTTGTTTGATCACCTTAGAATTTTTCAAATAATTGTAAATGAATATGTCATCATAAAATCTATGAAATTCAATTCCTAAACAATTCTTATATTGCATATCAAAATTAAATGTATTATATTGAGTTTTAAAATAACATAAAGAATATACTTTGATTAATAAAATCAATTTTGCGTTCCTTGAGATAATTTTAAAGTCGACTCAAACATTCACTTTTGTCTTAACTCTAACCAATCAAAATCATTTATTTTGAATTGAACTTAGTTAGTTTTAACTTGATTCGACATCACCTTAAATTTGGAGAAATTATTATGTGCGGAGTTGGGACATAGCTCTGTTCATACTTCAATAAAAATGTGTAATGTATACATGTTTGTAAATTTGAATAGAGTGTACGTACACACACTATGTACATAAGATGTTTAGGGTTTTTTTTTGGAATCAAGATGTCGTTCAAACTCCACACATAATAATCTATTCTAACATAAATGAGTAACAAGAAAGAAATATTCAGGGGAAAATATTACGAGAAATAAAAAGTGCAAATACATTATTATACTCCTTTTTTTTATTTCTTTACATAATCTTTCTTTTGTTGCATACCAAACATAACTATAAGACATCCTTAATATTTTATAATATTTTATCCATAAAATTTTAAGCTTAGTGCATGTAAGGAGTCCAAAATAAGTAAACCTTCACTCCCCCTTAAAAAATTAAAATATAAGAATGATAGACTACTCAATATATCCAAGCACATACATATCAATAATACTATTTTGATGTGTTGAAATTTTTTGCGGGCCCCTTGCATGTGAATTTGGCTGTTATGATGGGTAGGCTTGAGAAGGATGAGACTTATTTAGGATAGGGTTGGATGTGATGAAAAAATAAAATATGATTGTAAATAGTTGAAAAATTAAGGGTGGATATGCAAATATATGCTCAGAATTTAATGGATAAGATTCTTGCTGGAAAACTACAAATAGAAGGGCTAAATTTAAAAATTACTTGTATTGGTTACAATTATCCTCATAATTTAGTCATTAGTGTGAATGGAACACTCTTAAGGTTACATTAGAAAAAAATATTTCATTTAATGTGTTTGTTATATCAATAAAAGGTCAAAGAGTTGAATTTTGCTATAAATTTTGCATGTTACAAATTTAGAAATTCCATTGAAGGGTTTGGTTTGCATGTGCAAGCACAATTAGCTTATATGACTTTTGTTCTTCCAAGCATTTGGCTTATTCAAAGGAGTCACATGGAATGTTTGGAAGATAAGCTTCACCTCACATGGGGTTGGGTGGATGAGAGTGTTTGAGTCAGCACCAATGCATGTGAGGAAGAGTGAGGAAGGAGAAAATGCATTTGTTGATTTCAAAGAATTTTAGACTTGTAGTGCACCTAGATGATAGATAGTTCCTTAATATAATTTTTTTAAAAAAATCTTACATTGGCAAAATTTAACAAAAGTTCTTCTTATTAAAGGACTATTTAATTTGAAATAAAAGGATCATAAAATATTTTAAATACAAAGATTTTTGAGAATTTTGATGTTTAATTTAAAATAAAATAAATATATTTTAAAATTTTAATACATTTAAAATTCACAATCTGATTAATGTTTTATGTATTTAAAATTTCTTAGATTTAGGTTGAAACTTAAATATACCACAAATTAATCATCATTACTACCGTCAACAACCAACCAACATTAGATTTTGTTTGAGACGACTTTCTTACTATTTAAAGTAATTTTTTAATATAAAAATTTTAATTTTTATACTAAAAAAATTATTTTAAGAAATAATAAAGCTATAAAAAACAAAGCATTAATCACTTCCGGCCACCAACATTCACCACCGCCGGCCATCAACCACATCACTCATTTTACTTTCATTTTACCCACCGCTCACTTTAAGCATAGATTAAGCTTTAGATGTATATATTTAATTTTTCAATTAGTGAAGTCCAGAACTCTAAGTCTCTAACCAATAGAGTCAAGCCAATAATTTAAGTATTGTTTGTGCTCATAAATATGAGGAGATTTCTCAATTTCTGCGGTTTGCAAATGAATATATTTGATTTCACTTCATACATTAACATGATCCAAGTATGAGTTCCAAAAATAATATTAGCAGCATATTAAAAGGCATCTAATATTATTTTAACTATAGCTGATGGGACAAAGAAACAAATCAACTACGGATTTTACAAACATAATACAACAAAACTTGCCAAAAAGCACCCATCGAGACTTAAGGTGATTGGTGGGCGAGCAAGGTTGAAAATCCCCCATTCCAGGTTCAAATCCCATCTACTACGGTCTCGCCTCTTCAGTGGGGCAAAGCGAGTGTGGGCTGAATGCCTATGAGTGGCATCGCAAGGCTCCGTTGAGGGATTAGTTACGCCACCAAACACTTCCTTTGAAGTGGCAGCAGATAGATACCTACATTCCAAAAAGAAAAAAAATATCTTGCCAAAAAATTGCAATAATGAAGACCGATAACCGTCGTATAGCAAGTTTCTTTACTATTAAAAATACATCAACTCATTGAGAATTTTATTCAAGTACATATGTGCTCCATAAGATTTAGAGTTAGGTGATCTTGTTTGGGACGGCTTTTTTAGTATTTTAAAAATAATTCTTTACTATAAATTTTTCTTGTACTAAAAAGCTGCTTTAAAAAGCATTAAGAAAGCCGCCCCAAAGGAAGCCTATGTTTTCAAGGATGCACATTTTCAATAAAGAAAATGAATTGCAGGTCAAGTATGGCTTTTTTGTTTAAGAGAAACTAGAACTTCCTTTGTAGCTAGCTTTTTGGCATCTTTCTTGTTTTTAGCTGTAGATGTAGCTTGATGAACACGACCATCAGCATCAACCTCTACTGTAACAGAGGCTAAACCGCCTTTGAATTCTTTTGAGAAAGATTTTGTGTATGATTTCCGGGAACATAACTCTTCTAGTTCCCTGACAGGATGTATTTCCATTGTATCAGGGTTAACCAAAGGTTCCAACAATGGCCGGATACTATTCCAAACTACTTCTTCGTTACATTCTGAGTCAAGATAGATTGCTCCAGCAATGGACTCAATTACATCAGCTAATACCTGTCAAGCAAATAAATAAATTACATTTGTGAAGTCCAAAACTATTGGTGATAGACGAAAGAGAAAAAAAGAATGACAGAAAATTGAAAGAAAAAAAAAAAAAAACAGATCGAGCTCTGGCTTCATGGTCGACGGAGCGTTTCCATCCCGCATGATCTACGTTCGATACTCTTAATTTCGAAAAGACAAGAAAAGTTCAGCGAACAAAAGCACAAGAGAATTTTCCAGGTTCACCTAATTGGTGGTTAAGTGCTGTGGCCATCATTGCATGATTTGATTGAAAAGAAAACACAACCCAAATTTTGGGCAAATTATTAGGTCTGGACACCCGACGTAGATATAGGTCTGGATAACCAATTAAAATTTGACATGTGGGCTGCATTTTGACTGCGCTTTTAGATTGCATTTTGACTGCGTTTTACCTGCACTTTACCCGCACTTTTGGCGCACTTGGCATAAAATTTTGCGGACACGTGTACATTCTATATGCCAATATTTTATTGGAGTCCGGACGTAATAGTTTTCCCAAATTTTGCTGTGGCCATCATATTACATTCACTTCAGGTTGAGCTACATTGCAAACATTACAAATTTTTTTTTCTTAATCCGAATTCTTAAATTCTAACATGAACTACCTAGACAAACTATATTGCAATTTTTTGCATAGTTAGTTCTCAAAATAATGAAAAAAATTCAATGTACCTGCCAGTATTCACCTGGTACAAGTAAAACGGCTAATTCCTTAATGAGCAAGGACCACGATATATGAAGTAAACAACCTAAACATATAGGTTTGCATGAGTAGTCAAATGTACAGAGTCATTCTATTCTATCGCCAAACCCTTCAAAGGGCTTTACTTCTCAAAACTTAACCTAACAATTACTAAAAGCAGCAAGCACAAATGACGAAAATAAATGTGGCACATGAAAAGTACCTTGAGTGAAGTAATTTAACAAGAAATAAACACAAATAGAAATGCTTTACCTTCGGAAGAGCAACCCCAGCTTCCCATCCACAAGATGATCCAGAAAAAGATCTCGTAATATTGTTAAGATAAAACGTCATATGCCTGTGCAACTCTGGTGATGCATGAAGAATATGTTTGTTTAAGCCAACTTTAGCTGCCGCGTGAGCATAACAATCATTATTAACAGAAGCTGATCTGAGATCAGTTAACAATCCCGGTGTCGCTCCTGGATAACTACGGAACAAGTGCAAGGTTATCAAATAGTCCAGAACAGCATCACCTAAGAACTCAAGCCTCTGCAACAGCAAGAATTTGAAATTAGAGCATACAGAAAACGTAGAATATTCTAAAAACATTAATAGAATATAATATTTCTAAGAATAATCAACAGGCCATAATAAGCTTTCATAAGAGAAGACAAGTTGCAAACAACGTAAGCAGCTTTGTATGGTAAACACTTGTACTGTACTGCAATATATCCTATAGGTGGCAAAAACAAAAGGACAATAAAAGGAAAAGCTAAGCGGGCCATTTCTGATAACTTCTAGTTTAAATTATTCATTTATGCTCGTTGTTTTGTTTTAATAATGTTTTGATACAAAATACTAACATATTTGATATCACAAGTGTTGTTTTTTGCTTTTATTGAATATTATGAAGGCGGCGATAGTAACGATGTCCGGCAATGGCTAGCATTAGTGGCAGTAGATGATGGAAGGTGATGGTGGGTCCTAGCTGGGATGGATTTTAGTTAATAAAATGAAAAATGAAAACAAATAAAAGATAATTTACTCTTTTTAATAGCACTTTTAAAAAACAAAGAATTAAAAAAACTAAAAAAATATAAATACCTGTTCTTCAAAAATAAAACCAAAAAAAAAAAAAAATCAGATCTCAAACAACTCCTAAGAGTGGCAATTGTTTCACAAAATCAGATCATTGCGTAGTTTCAACTTACTTGCTGTTTTAGCTGCTGTCCATGCATTTCCTGCACACTTTCATGAGCATTTAAGTCACCCTAGCTAGTGTCTTTTTGCTGCCATTGAACTTGTAACATTTCTAAGTGCATAGGACAACTCCACCTTGAGGTTTTACTGCTGTCCTCACTGTTCCAACAGCTTTTAGACGTCCTATAGTGAACTTTAAGTTAATGTTTAGGTGCTGTCTACACCTTAGAACCCTTCCTAAACACTTAGACAACTTGGCCCATTACTTAACTTGCTGTCCACTAATTTTCTGCACTTAGTATGGCCTTTAGAGTGAATTCTAGGTAGTGTTAAGTTGCTGTCCACTCATTCCTGCAGCTGTTAGGCTTCCGTTAGTGAACCTAGAGTCACTGTTTAGGTGCTGTCCACGCCTTGGAACCTTGCCAAAACCACTTAGGTAACTTCACCCCTCATTTGTGCTTGCTGCCCTGAACTTTCCAGCTGCTGTAGTTACCTTTTCAGCAAGCATTTCGTTGGGATTTGCCGCTGCCTTTGACTTAGAAGCCCTCCTTAGTGTCCCCCTACACCCAATCTTCTATGATTATCACTTGACGCTTCCCGATGGACCCGATAAGACTCCAAAAGAGATTAGATGAGATCGTTAACCTAGTGGGCAATATGACTAGGATTATGACGGAGAAATCCGTTGACTATCCCCACTCTAATTACATGCCCCACTCAGCTTATCACCCGAGACATGAGCATAGGCCTCCACGACCTCACTTAGAGTCACCTTATCGTTTGTCTACCTTTGATGGTTCCTCGGAGCCTTACTATTTTAGGGAATGGGCCAAACAACTAGATGACTATTTTGAATCATGTCATATCCCTGAATCCCACCAGGTTAGCATCGCTAGGTCTCACCTTAAAGGTCGAGCTCTTCAATTTTGGGCAAGATTGGAAGATCATAAAGAGTCTCGCGGTGAGTATCCTATCTCTAATTGGAGAGACATGAGGAGAGAACTCAACTTAAAATATAGACCATCTACCTGTGGACAACCTGCTGATTCTAAGTTTAGGTCCCCCCCTGCCCATCAAACCATTGGATATTACACTCTCAATACCCCTACCCCTAGTGACCGTCATTTAGAGCACCACCCTACCCTTACAGAACAAACCGTGGACCTTATTGTGGTCAAGACCACCACCCATTAGTAACATCCGAGTTGCTGCCCCACCTTATAGGTCTTCACCTAACCTTGATGACCGACCCTCTACTGGGCCTTCTGTTAGACCAATCTCTTATGACTCTCCACTTGGACCTACTTCTAGCCCTCCCAGTCAACCTTTAGCCTTCCTAGTCCTTGACCCTGCAAGTATGATTATAATAAAGGAAGACATTAAGACGATGAGGTTCCCTAAACCTGAGACTGAGTGCGATGCTAGTGATATCACTAATGATGAAGAATTCTTTGAGGATGGAATAGAAGTGATTGAATCAGACTCCCAGAATGACTTAAACACTGAACTAGGAAAGTTAGAACCTGTAAACGTCGACACCTTAACCCACCCCGATCCTAGTCTCTTCGAGGATAAGTCTTTGAACAAAGTATGCCTTGAGGATATTAATTTGATCTCGAACGACACTGATCTGACCTTGAACCCTGTGGAATTAAATTTGGAAGATTCTAATTTAATTGACCCCGAACCTGATCCTACTAAGATTATTAATATGAATTTGGATGACAGTCAGTTGAATCTGAACAATTCTGAGTTTATTTTGAAAATTAAGCATCCTCTTATTTTATGGGAGTCTATGTTAGGAGTTGCCCCTTTAGATTTGCATTTGAAAGAGTGTGTTTTTATTGATTGGACTTATCTCACCACTCCTCGTACCGACTTTTATGTTAGAGAGAGTCTTAACCTACACATTCATATCACCAATCTAGCTGCTGTGATCACTTCTGTAATGGATACCATACCCCATTTCTTAAGTCCCATACCTGCTGATGACTCGTTTAGCTATCCCATTATGGCTGTGAGTCAGGACCAATCATCTTACCTTGTTCCTGATTCATTTGTTTTGCCCACTATGTTCTTGTCCTTCCCTGTTCAGGACAATCCCTCTCCTAGTTGGATAAATTTACTAGATGACACTGTCGACCCTAGGAGACTACCTACGACTTTAACTCAGACTTCCCATAGAAGTACCCTGGTAGCTAAGAACGTCTTCATTGCTCCTCCTACACCAGTCCCCTTAGACCGAACACTTTAGACCCCTTTTGTTGTGACTCATCCACCTTTCTAGCTATATGTTCGTGTGAGTTAGTATGTTGTGTGTGCGTTTTGTAGTCTGTTGTCCTCCAAAGTTATTTCTGCTTAAAACATTTGGGTGAGCCTTGATTCTTATCATTCATCATGCATACCGATTCTTTTGCATATGCATTTGCATCTCATCTCCAGGAGCTTCATAAAGAAATTAAAAGAAGCATTGAACAAAGTAATTCCAATTATAAGCTTATTTCAGATCACAAGAAAAGATTTAAAGAATTCGAGGTTGGAAACTTTGTGATGGTACGGATCCCTCCGTGAAGAAGTCGCATGCTAGAAGCGCTGGGCCTTGAAGATAATGTCAAAGATAAATAGTAATGCTTATATGCTGGACCCCCTAAAGGGTTAACTTCAATCCTACATTTAATATAGAAGATCTAGTAACCTTTGAGGGACCCGAGTTGAACCCTAATAATCCAATTGAAAATAAGCCTTGTGAGAACCCACCAAGTGAGATCCCCCCAGCCTACCTCCACTCCCCAATTTACCCCCACTTACCCATAGCGGAGAAAATTGAAGCATTAATAGATGATGAGATCATTTCCACAAAGGAAGGAGGTCACCGCAGGTACATAGTTCATTGGACAGGGAAATCGGAGACGGAGGACATGTGGATTGATCAGGAGGAGCTCCAGTGAGTGGAC